TGCCCCTCTATGCCCAGCAACCCGGGCTGGGGCTGTGGTTCCCAAAGAGTGGCTTGGGACCTGGCTCTGAGGCCAGCTCTGAACCCAGAGGCAGATTCCGTGATCCAACGAATCTGGGAAGTGCTGTTCACAGCACTCCTGTCTGGGCCCATGGTGCCTGCTGGCAGACTGAGGGCTCTGAGAAATCCTGAATTTTCCCGTTGAACCAGCATCCCCAGTGCGGCCAGAGACACTTCCCCAGGGACCTGCTTATTCATATCCCAAAGAGTCTGGCAAGCGCCTGATGGACCTGGCTGCTGGTTACAGAGTGCGTCCCTCTGGCATTTGCCCCTGCTGGGGGCTTCACATGCAGACCTGCTGCCTATAGCAGGCGTCATGGCCCATGAGCCATCAGTGAGGGCTGGTAAAGCTAGGGGTGCAGGGAGGAACCCAGAGTGCTGGCATGGGCCCTCAGGGAAAGGGGAGGATCCCATCACAGCTTTCTCTTCTATTTGTGACTGGGGCCCACGGGGCTTACTGCCTCACCTTTCTCATCTGCAAAATGGGGGCAACGATTCTGCCTCCTCTGCCTCTTTTCAAAGATGGGGGCGTTAACATGTCAAGGCGTGAGCGGCACCACGGAGATGTGATGATCTGGAAGTCTCGGCCATCAGTCCTGGGCCAGCACTGATGCGTGTGCCCAGAGGCACACGGGCACCAGCCCGGGAGCCTGGCCAGCACACTGTAGCTCCCTGCCTCCGGCCAGCAGCAGGATGGGTTTCACGGAGTGCTGCCGCGGAAGGGCCGGGCTGGGAGTCGATTCCACTCCAACTCACCAAGTGGGGCCAGAAAACACTGCTTGGCTTCTCTGGATAAGTTGGGGTCATACTCCTTAGCCCCTAGAGGCTAAGAACATGCCCGACGCATGTAGAGAACCTAGCCAACGAGTAGGCAGGAGAGAGAGTTATGAACCATGATGTTCTTTAGTATCTGATCAAAGGCGTCTGTTTTTACTAAAGATGACACTGAGGTCCAGGGAGGCCCAGTGACAGACCAGTGGAGGAGCACAGACAGGACGCCAGCGGCACTGGTCAGCCCTGAGTGGCCTAAGCTGCACAGAGAATGCATTGCTGCCCCAAATCCGGCATCTCTTTCTTGGGTGCGGACGGAGGTGCTTTCCTGCCCCCGCCCCCTACTTCGCCCTACCTCCTCTTAGAGATGCTTTCCCAGGGAGCTCCTCATTGGTTGGGAGCTGAGCCCCGCCCAGCCAATCTGTGGGGCCAGGGGGAATCCTGGGCTCTCATTGGCCACAGCGGAGCTCCAGATCCACTCCTATCTGGGCTGGAGCTGGTGCTCCCAGAACCGTGGAAGTAGAGAGGGGCTTGGGCTCCCCAGAGGCATGGTCACTGCTCTAACCTCTTCGTGGCCTGTCAGGTGGTACCAGCCCACACTGCTAGCTGAGCGAGTGAGGCGGAGAGCGCTGGGGACACAGTGCTGGGAAGACTCGCAAGAGCCACGTTCTGCTTCACGGAGCTCGCGTCCACCTGTAGGTCAAGACCGTGGGAGGGATGTGGGGTGCAGAGGGCTGTGTGGGAGCATGTGTGTCCTCCTCCAGCCCTCAAGATCGCTCCCAGAAGTCTGGCTTCCTGGGCTTCTTTTGAGTCCAAAGGCCATATTTTGGAAGAAAAGGAAGAACCAAGGTTTTTGTTTTGTTTTGTTTTTGGAGAGGTTGGGCTGTGGCTATCCAAGGCGCTGTGACTTTGGGGTCAGAAGGCAGCTGGAACTGTTGAAGGAGGTGCTGGACGGAAGCCCCAGGCCCGTGACTCTCTCGTCGGCCGTGTTCCCATCTGCAAGACAAGCAGTTGGGACGAGTTACTCTCCCAAGTCCCTTCCGGGAGCTCACAAACGCTGCCGTTTTCCAGCAAGGCTGTGTGGAAACCGAGAGTGGCTCTCCACAGAGCTTGGGGTCTGTCTCTGGAAAGCTTCCCGGCGCCTCCCGCCCCCGCCCCCTCCCCTGCAGGCAGGACAGCCCGGACTCCGCTGCGGAGTCGGCTCAGAGCGGGGACACCTGTGGGTCGGAGTCCAGTGCCCCCTGGCGGCGCCGGGGCGGGCGGGCGGCTTCCGGACGGCCGAGGCCCGACGGCTGTGACTCAGGGGCGGCGCTGCTGCAGGGCGGCAGGAGGCCCAACTGGGGTTCCTTCGTGGGCCGAGCCACGGCGCGATTAATTACCAGCTGCAGGAATCCTTGTCGCCCGCTCACGGTGACTCACCGGGCGGCCAGGCGCATTCACCTAGCGCAGGGGCCTCGGTTTCCAACGTGAATTCCAGGGGAGCACCTGCTTCGGGGGGACCTCCCATTCCCTGTGCCTAACGGCGCCGCCGGCGGGCCCAACGTCGACCCGACAGCCCGGATGTGGCCCCCAGCTCGGGCCCACTTGTCCGTAGGGCCGGGGGCGCAAGCACCCAAGAGTCCCAGAAACAGGGTGGAGAGCGCCCCAGCAGGGGAGCCTCCGTGAGGCATAGGGTTCCCAGACTCGCCTGGCCCCCAGTGCCTGCGGATGGGGAGCCCGGAGCAGCGCCCAAGGGGGCGACCCAGAGGGGTCAGCGCTCCGGAGCCAGCCAGCTGCGCAAGGCTGGGTCCATTCCCTGGCCTACTCCGCGGTGCCCTCAGCCACTCCTGCCCGCTGTCTTGGACCGCCGCCGGGGGGCGTCCCTTTCCCCAAGTCTCCACCTCTTCCTTGGCTGGGGTCTAAGGAAGGTCGCCAGACCCAGGGAAGGGGAGCCCTGGGTCTCGGCGCCTTCAGCCTACCCATTGGGAGCTCCACCGCTCAAGTGAGGGTTAAGGGGCTCGGTGATCGAGGGAAACTCCTCGACGACCTGAGGGGGACTGAGGGAAGCGGGCAAAGGTGGCTGATGTGGGAAGAGGAGAAAGCCGGTCTTCCGATTCAAAGAAGAGCTGCGCCCCTGCGGGAGCCTGGGGTTCCCTCCCTGGGCTGGTCGGGAGTGGGGCCATCGCGAGGCGCCGTGTGCAGGAGGAGGGGCCAGGATCATGTTCTGGGTACACCCGGCGCCCAGCCTCGGGGAACCGAGTAATGTTTCTGGGAAAAGCATCGGGGAGAGGCAAGGAAGGGGGGATGCGGCATCCTTCCCTGAGGCCCGCACCCCAAGAGTGGCGGCCGGTGCCATGCTCAGCACTCTCCGGATAAGAGCTCTGGATCAGCAGGTGCTGGGCCACCTGTCCAGCGACGCTCGCGGGGGCTGAGGCGGCCATCGGGACCCCAGCGCGCGATGAGGAGGTGCGCCCCGGCAGGCACACGCGGCCGCGCCAGGTGGCTGGCCCCGGGGAACGCCCTCCCCTCGTGCTCTCGCCCCCCCCCCCCCCCCCCGCCCGCCCCGATCTCTCCTCTCCCTTAAGCTGCTGGTCGGCCTTCTCCGGCTGAATCCCGTTTCCTCCCCCAGGCACGGTTCTCCCAAACTGTCCGCCTCGCGTGGCAGCAGGCGCTCTCGGGGAGCTGGGCGACGAGGACCCGAGCAGCCTCATTTATCCTCCCATCCCCCGCCGAAACCTGCTGGTGGCTCCGCCTCCCACCCCCACTCTGGCAACACCCAGGCCTCGGCCCGCCTCCGCCCCCTCCCCAGTGGCACCGGCAGCCCCTCCCTGGCTCCCTCCGCGTGCGCCGCGCGCCGCGCTCGGTCTGCAGCGGAGCCGCCGCGGCCGCCTCGCCAGCTGGCTGGGGACCAGGCGGGAGGTGGCGCGCCCGGGAGGCTGCGGGAGGGAGGGAGGGAGGAAGGGAGGGAGGGAGGCCTGGCCTCCGCGTAGCCCGGCCCCCGCCCCCCGCGGCCCTCCCGCCCGAGCGAGGTGCCACGCGCGCGCGCGGGTGCGCGCGCGCGCGCTCACACACACACACACACACACACACACACACAGGCACACACACGCGGGCACACACGGGCACACATACGCACAGACACACGCACACACACTCGGCTCCCTCCGGCGCGCACGCACGCAGCGCCCCTGACAGACCAGCGCAGCGGCCGCCTCCCCGGACGCCCGGACGCCGGAGGGCCCCGACCCCGGCGCGGCTCATGCGCCCGCGCCCATCCCGCAGCTCCGCGAGGCCCGCGGGACCCCTCCCGCCACCGCCGCCGCCGCCGCCTCGTCCGCCGCCCCCGGAGGAGCGGGCTGGCCGACCGCCGCCGCGCAGTCCCCCGGCCGCCCCCGAGGCCGCTCTGCCACGGGCCCTGCCGCCCTGGGGCCGCGCCCCGCTCCCGCGCCTCGGGGGCTGAGCGGAGCAAACTTCGCGGACAGGCCGACGCCCGGCGGGGACCCCGCCGCGCCCCTGCGCGGCCGGGTGGGCGCGGGGCTCTCGGACCTTCGGGCATCGGGCTGCCCCGCCCGCTGCACCTGCTCGGCCCCCTCCGCGCCTGCTGGGGACTCCGGAGACGCCGCCACTTCGCAAACTTTTCCACCCCCCCTCGAGGGGGGGGGGCGAGGAGGGCTGAAGGGGAAGGAGGTCCCGCGAGGCGCGCGCAGACCTGCGGGCTCCTAGCTGGGCGCCGCCGCCCGGGAGCGGGACCCGGAGGGGCGCGGGCCCAGGCGGCCGCCCTCCGGCCGCGCTCCGGCTCCCGCTCCCGCCCCTGCTTTTCCGGCGGGAGCGGGGGGCGGGGTGCGGAGGGCAGCGCGGCCCGCGCGGTGCCCAGCGGGGCCGCCGTGCATGGCCCTGCGCAGTGGGGCGGGCTGCTTCGGCCGGGTCTGGCGCAGGGTGTCGGGGCTCCCGGACGCCTGGCCCCGGCGCTCGAGCAGCCTCCTGTGCCTGTCCGCCTTCTCGCCCGAGCCCGGGCCCGCGCCGCCCCTGCCCCGCCAGCCGCCTCGCGGTGGCGGCGGCTGTGGCGGCCCCGGCGGAGGGGGGCCCCCCCAGCCTCCCCGCCCCCCGCCTCCCCGCTGCTGCTGCTGCTGCTGCTGCTGCTGCCGCCGCCGCTTACAACTTGGAGGCGGCGGCGGCGGCGGCGGAGGAGGCGGCGGCGGCCGCCGGGCGCTGCAGTGGGACGCGCGCGGCTGCGAGCCTGCGGGACATGCCCCCCGCGCCGGCTCCTTGCTGGCGGCCATGAAGAGGCAGAACGTGCGGACTCTGTCCCTCATCGTCTGCACCTTCACCTACCTGCTGGTGGGCGCCGCCGTCTTCGACGCCCTCGAGTCGGACCACGAGATGCGCGAGGAGGAGAAACTCAAAGCCGAGGAGATCCGGATCAAGGGGAAGTACAACATCAGCGCCGAGGACTACCGGCAGCTGGAGCTGGTGATCCTGCAGTCGGAGCCGCACCGCGCCGGCGTCCAGTGGAAATTCGCCGGCTCCTTCTACTTTGCCATCACGGTCATCACCACTATAGGTAAGGGATGGGCGCGCCGCCGCGGGGCTCCCCGCGCCCCGGGAGGAGTCCGGGGAGGCGGCTGAGCGCGCGGCGCAGGGCTGGGTGCGGGGCGCCGAGGGTTAAACGCAGCCTGTCGCCTGGGGGCCCCTCCCGCCGCGCCCCCTCCTCTCTCCGGAGCCCCCGCCTCTCCTGCGCCTCCGAGCCTCTCCCCTCGCGGACCCCACCCGGAGCTGCGCTCCGCGCCGGTGTCTGGGCCGGGCGTGCGAGCCCCGAGCGAGCGTGCCGGAGCCTGGAGGGCGGAGGCGCCACTTTTGCGAAGAGAGTGGAGCGCTAAGAATAATCCCAGAGCAGACACCCACCCACCCACCGCCCCAGCGCGGGCTGGGCTGCGCGGGGTTCCAAGCCTTACACTTACTACCTCTCCGGGACTTGGAGAGGGCCGGCCTGGCTCCGCGGCACGGAGAGGGACTCGGGCGGAGGGGGACCCTCGCAAGGCTCGTCTTGTCTGAGCCCAGATTTCAGCTTTCCTCCCTCCTGGCTCCTCTTGGAATTCTGGAGCCTGGTCGTGCCAGGACCCCGGGGGTGGGGGGTGGGGAGGAGAGTTTGTTCTCTGGTGATTGGGGTGGGGGTGGCAGCCCGGTGAACCGCTCTGAGAGGGCAGTGGAGGGCAGGAGGAGGGCAGAACCTGTCCACCCCCAGGCCGTGCTTGTGGGGAAGGCAAGTGTGCCTGCTGCCGGGAAACTGGGGAGGTTCAGCCCTGGTCTGGGGAGGGAGTCCGGTTGGTGCACCCTGGGGACTCCTGTGGCTCCCTCTCCCCAGGGCGCTTCCACGGAGCAAAGCCTCTGAATGGTGCCTAGGGCAGTGCCCCCACTGAGGTCAGGGGGTTTGGAGAGCCTGCAGGTGTGACACTTTGAGACCCTTGGGAACTGGATCAGGTCACTTCGCCCCAGTGGCTGTGGCAGTAGGGAGGGTGGCATCTCTGTGGTTTCTGTGGTTTGCAACTTGTCCTCCCCCCACCCCCCCGTGGCACCCTCCTTCTGCACGGACATCTCTGTGGACCTGTCAGGGCCACTGTGTTGTCTCCCGTGGCCTCTTTTCTGGGCCAGTCCAGTTCCCTGTGCCTCCTCGCTGTGAGATGAGGCCTCCTCCTGCTCACACTTCTCTCCTCCCTCCGCCCTGAGTCCTCTGGACCTCCTTCTCTAATTTTCCCCTTGCTATTTTTCTTTGTCTGGAAAGCTCTGCCTGCTGAAAAAGCAGGATTGCTCAGTACCATATGCAACAGGAAGCGCCAACACAGGACGGCCTGTCTCGGCTTCTTGGTGGAGAAGACTTTGTAGGGAGTCATCTTGTCTGAAATGTTTAATTCATTGGTGCAGGTTTTTATGTTTTTGGAAGGAAACCGCTCTTCTGTTGTCTACGTAACCAGCTCTGGGCCCGCCGGCCCCACGCGCTTGGCACCCCCCCACACCCCACCGCCAAAATGCAGAAAAGTCCTTCCTCCCCCACCTGTGCTTCCAGCCTCTGAAAGGGCCAGGCAGTTGTCGCCGTCATGCTTGTCTTCCAACTTGCAGCCCAAGCTGCGGTCGCAATGTCCGGGTGCACGTGGTGGTGATCCTGGGGGTACAGGGTCCCACTGGCTGTGAGCCCGAGGGCGAGAAATATGCCTCCAGCACTGACGGCCCTGGGGGAGAGACCCATCCTTCCCTAAACATGCCTTTAGTGATCTAGACCCAAAGCAGGTGACATCTGTGGGCACACCAGCCCCAGGACTGACATGAGCCCTGGAGACCCGTGGCTGGTCTCATGTGCTGAGCTACAACACCGAGGAGAGGATTGGAGGGAAAACCAAACCTCAAGATGCTCCCATTTACCTGAAAAAGGAAATAGGGAGACTGACAAGGTTCCCATCAGAGGGTGTTTATTAATCCTTATTGGTAATTCCGGGCACGTGCTTCCAACACTCAAGGCTCCAAAGAGAAAAGTCAAGGAACGTGTGGCCAGATGGAGACCGTTAGTTCAGCGGGGGCGCACGGGTGGGACTTCTGTCGTCCAGGGCCAGAGGGGCACCTGATGGCTGTGGATACTTCTCCCTCCCTTCCTTGAGTTTCCACCCGAGTTTCTGGAAAGAAAACTTGGAATACATATGTAAGGACAAGGAAGAGAACACTGCCTTTACTTAGCTTCCCCGACCTGAGCTTGGAGCCCAGGGAGCTGGCTTGTAGCCCAAGTCTGGTCACCCTGGAGGACCCAGACAGGTCATTTCTCTTTTCCCAGTGTGGTTTCTGTACCTGTGGAAGGAGCCGGGGACAGTGCTCACCTGCCAGGTTGAAGCTGAGGGCTGGTGGGCCCCTCCGTGCTTGCCACTGCCTGCAGGACGCCCTGCGCACAGTAGGTGTGAATCCACGCTCCCCTACAGAGGCCAAGTGCATGCCGGCTGCCTTAGGAAAATGTTTAGCAGGAGAGCTCAGATTTACAGGAAACAAAGCACCTTTCTAGCTAATTCTGTTTGTTTTCTTCTTTTTTAATATAAATGCAAATTAAGGTCCTCCTAGGCCTAGAACAAAAACCAGCCCCAAGCCAGACCCTCCGAGGAGCTGTCTCCTATTGGACGGCGATATTAATGAGTCAGGTGAATCTTCACGGGTGTTCTTGTTTTTAATCTAACCTTGAGCGATTTCTCGAGCACGCTGCAACTTTGAGCCCCGTCAGCGAGGCAGGCGGGCTCTGGTGGCACTCGTGGTCCGTAAGTGAACACCGCTTCTCGGGTGCAGTTATTAGCTCATTCTCGGAAATGGATTTTAAAAATGATATAATTAGTACTTTGCACTGGATCCGTGGCCGCACCTCCCCGTGAGGCTGGGAAGGGAGAGCACGCCGGCCCCCCGGCCGGCTGTTAGGCACCGTGGGCGGAGGGAGGGGGACACAGGTCCAGCGGGCCCAGAAAGGGCACGCTCAGCACAGCCGGCCGTGGCTTCCAGGCGCTGTTCCTCTGAACCTGTGGCTTCTGACAATTGTGGCATTTGAAGCCACCTGCGGGGCTGTGGCCCCTGTTGAAGATGGGAGCACCCCCCCACACACAACGCCATACCTTAATCTGCTTAGCGGGATGGTTGGAAGTCTGCCCCCAGGCCCAGGGCCTGGCTGGAATTCCTCTGCCCAGGGCAAAGTCCTAAAGGACCGCTCTGCCCCAGGGGCAAACCAGCGACCTTCCTAGAGGAGGTGCCCTGGGCCCCAGCTGCCCCAAGGCCGGCGCTCCTCTGACTGCAGAATGGATCTCCGTGACTCCTCTGTGTTGACTCTAACATCTGTGACCTCAGTTGTCAGCCCCTTTAGGACCATGAAAGATGGAGAAGCCCCACTTAAATTCACATCCCATCTGCAGGGCCCAGAGGACCAAGGACACTGGTCTGAGTAGTGGGGGGATGGAGGTGGGGAAGGAGATGGGGGTTTTTGGTTTTGGCTACAGTTTGGAGGAGCAGTGTCTCTCCGGGCCCTTGGGGAGCATCCAAAGCTGGGCCGGTGGCCCTGGGGCGCCGGGGTGACCGGCTCAGGAGGCAGGGTCTGCTGGCTGGGGGTGGGGCAGACTCTGGGAATCAGTTCTGGGGCTCCAGTAGGTTCCTCGCTTAAGGTCCCCTGCCTGCAGGAATTGGGAGCCCAGAGGGGCATCTCCAGATTCTCACTGGCACGTGGAACCTGAACGGGGCTTCCCCGTGGTGGAGAGCAGGTTCCGGTGTTTTCTGGCACTCCTGGGTATAGTTTCCAATGTAGAGTTTATGCTCTCGCTGTGTGCCTGCTCCTGCCTTGTCTGCGTTGCCTCTGAGACTCTGGGGACAGGCTAGATGACAAGATAAGGCCTGGCCTTGAGGCAGGAGGGGAGCTGGAAACCCAGACTGCTGGTTGTGCTCCAGCGTGAGGAGTAGGGACAGCGGAACCCAGTTAACCCGTCTGCGCCCTGGGTGCGGGATGCCCAGAGGGAGTGCTCCACTGGGGAGGGCCCTTTGCGTCCTCCTGGCAGGTCCTCACCCTCCAGGGAAGCTTGGCCTTCCCCTCTGCCACCTGCTGCCTCCCTGAGCTGCGCCCCTGCTCCTGCGCCTCCCCCTCTGTCAGCGTGGGGAGGGGGACCCCAGGAGAACTGTGTCTGGACCCCCATGCCTCCCGCGCCTGCAGGCCCTGCCCAAGGTGGGCATCTAGCGAGGGAATGCAAAGTGGACGCAGGCCCTGAGGGCCAGAGCAGGCCAGTGCCGCAGGGAGCAGCGTACACACGCGTGAGCTCGCCTCCCCTCCCAGCCTGCCGGGACCATTGCCCCACTTGCTGGATGAGAAAACTGAGGTTCAGCAGCACAGGGAGGCAGAGGGCCGTGAACTCCGTGATTCCCTTTGGGCTCCCACCATGGCGCTGTCCCAGGAGCCCAGGATTGGCCTGTGGAACATTCCATCTTCACCTTTCTGCCTCTCCCTGTCACTGCACCGCTCAGGAGATCTGCGGGGCGAGACCCCGGTGAGGGGCCTGCTCTGGCACATGGGGGGCCTGGACCCCGAGGGGTGGCGCTCCCTTGTCCTTTCCTGTGTGGCCACCGTCCGTGGGCAGGAGCCCTGCGAGGCTGTGGCTCCTCCTCCTCCCCCAGGCCCTGCCTGGACCCGGCCTCCCTCGAGGTGGCAATGGCCCTCCAGTAAACACTGCCTATTTATAGTCGTGGCAGAGGCAGAGACCTGAGGTCCCTTCTGACTCCAGGGGACATGAAAGAGACAGCGGAAGTGTATGCAGGCTCCAAGGGAGTGCTCTGAGCAGGGAAGGTGTCAGAGGAGACCCAGGGCTCCAGCTCTCGCTGCCAGTACCTGCTCTTCCCGGGGTCGTCTCCCCAGCTCGACCGGGGGGTCAGAGCAGCAGCAGGAGGGGAAGCAGGCCTCAAGGTGCAGCTCTCCTCCCCAGGCCCCTGTGCCCACACCTCCTGCCATCTCTCACTCCCTGGGTCCTCCAGGCACCTTCTTGTCCATGCTCTGTGCACCCTCGCGTGCGT